ACGATGATTGGGCCCAACGATTTTCCACTCCATTTCTGTTTCTGATCATGGAGTTCATCATTCGAGTATAGCTAAAAATAGGTCACTGACTTAACTCAATTGGTATTCTGTGAAACAGTATTGAACTACTGGCACAGAAATGCAGTTTCCAATACAGTAACAGAAATAAGTGATAGGGAACAGAAAATAAGTGCACTTACAAATACATATGCTTATACATAAACGTATACTTGACTTAAACAAGTTTTACTGACAGTTGCGGAAACGTTCACTCTGCACAGGCGCAGTATGGCTGGGGGTAGATGCTTCCATGCGTAGCCCCTCCTAGAGGCCCCGAAGGACTCATTGCTACATAGTCTCCCGGGATATAGTCACTGAGCTTTTCTCCCTTGGAGTGACGATAGAGCAGGAGTTTACTATATATACATCAGTAATATTCAGTTAACCATTAGTTAGTTTCCAGTTGGTTCTGATTTTGATTTGCATTAAACCAGCTAACTACGGTACTTGAATTCAGGCCACTTGAATCGAATCTAAGGTGGTCATTATAAACAATTTTCAGTATACAGTAGACCCCATGATAACATGGTTCATTATAACGTTGGTTCTCTGATGCAGTACAAACCCCATTCCTTGCACATGGACACAGCAGCTGGCTGCCCCTTGTCAAGCACGCTGCTGATCCCATACTACTAATGGCTGACTTCCAGGTCATAAGATGGTCACTGACATCAACCATACCATGGGCATAGGAAGTGACATCAGTAGCACCTCATGACCCAGATCCATTTTCTTTAAGCATGTGGGAGACCGCTGGTTGGTGGGTTGTGGGCAAGTTCAGTTAAACCAGTTACTGCAGCCCCATCATATTGTGGTTGAAATTTTATGTATCCCAACTACTATGTTATAACAGGGCTCTACTGGAGTCACTTTTAAATGTTATAACTCATTTATTACACGGTGCCATTGTGATGCCAACTGTTATACCCATATCCATTCTGTGCAGTGACAACAAATACTCCACCTGGCAAGCTCCCAGGGCTGAGGACTATAAATGGGAATGATGCCAAATGGTGGTTATACGAGATAATTGCTCTTGGCAAAAAATATCCTGCATTAGGCTCTCTAAGGGGTAATGGAAGTTAGGGGTTCAAGGAAGATTGAAACTGGTGCAGACAGGGCAAGGTCAGGATATTGACCTTACCAGCAACAAAAAAGTAGATAGGAATGTGTTTGTATACAAACATGGAGAGGCCACTTGTAGAAAGGCAACTACAGATGTAAAAACCGTTGCAATATGTCTGTTGCTTATGTTGTATTGCAACGCTTGGAATACAGCATAAGCAGCAAACAGTATGTTTCTGCCTATTCTGTATTTCAGGCAGCACAATACAGAATAAGTAGCAGCCATATTGTTGTACAGAAAAGTCAAAGTTTTTAATCTCACACTTATTACAATTTAATTTGTATTTGTTAGTTTATTCTTGGATTATTGCCCTTTTTTTCTCTCTCTCCTTTCCCTCTGTTCTCCATGCCTTGCTGAGATGGTGGGCAAGCAACTTACTTTCACGCCTGTGTCAATATCAGTGTGTAGGCAGGAAGTGCACAAAAGGTAATCAATTTTCTAATCTTTTCCCTGCTTAACTAGGGAGAGGTGCATGTCTCTGATTCTCATTCATCCTAATCTATAGTTACAATTGCACATTTTGTGAAGTGTATCGGAAGTGCGACATAGTATAGTGTTTCAGTGCACTGTGCCTCTAGACTTTCATTGACTACATATTGGTTTAAAGCAAATTTAAATGGCTTTTATTGACCATGTAAGGTTACAACAACAAATTGCATTTGTAAAGGGCCTTTCAAGTTGGGTTTTCACGTGAAGAGTTTTCACCAGAGCTGGGGGCCTGAGTCAAGAGAGGTGGAAAGCAAGGGGGTGGAAGTGGGAGGATGACTGAAGGCACAGTCAAAGAGGATGGTCTTGATACTCGCCTTGAAGGATGCAATGAGGAGGGGGTAGGACGTAGGGGCGTGAATGCGGTTTCAAAAGGTGGGGGCAGAAAAGCTGAAGGCCTGACTGCCGATGGTGGAGCAAGCGGCCTGAGGATGTGAAGCAGGCCAGTGCCCATTGAGTAACAGACTCTTGAAGGTCACCAAACATATCACTATGTTTGCCCTATGGTGTGCTTGTGTAGGTTTGTTTGTTGCATTAATTTGTTCAAATATAGATCTAATGTTACACAAGACTATTTTTGAACAATGGCATCACTAGCAACATATTTAAAGATTGCTTTACATGTGAGGTAAACAAAGATTTTTAAACGTTATCTGAATGAACAGTGCAAAGAAACGTACAGCAATTCTCTAGTTGTAATAGTAATCTCTGGTTGTAAAAGTGGTTTAGGAATCTATCAAGTACTATTATAGTTATTAAAGGAGCTCAAGCTTAAAGAGAACAAATATTTGATTGAAATGCAGCACTTACTTTTCTGTTAAGGGGACTGAATTGTTTAATACTATTATTGACAAAGCACATAACTACGAATGAATATTGTGCAACTTTTGCAGCAGCCACCATTCCATAAAGATTCATATACTGTATCTTATTGTAGCTTTGCCAAGTAAAAATGATTTGCAGCAACAAGACATCAGCAGCAGTTGGGACTTCAGCTTCTCTTCCCCCAACCTTTGGAACTCCATCTCACACTCCCTTTGCCACACTCCCTCCCTTGCCTCCAAGGCAAGTCTCCAGACACTCCTCTTCAACCTCGCCTTCGGCCACCCTCTTACCCTCCCTGCCCTCCACCCCCTTTGATCCCAATCCCCTGCTCTGATCCAAATCCCTGATTGCCCAGTGTGTTGGAACGTCCTTCTGACGTGAAAAGAGCTTTACAAAGGTAATTTTGTATTGCATTATATTTATGGTAAGTGATTTAGACATTCAAAGAAGAAAGACAGGATATTTCAGGTGGTTATGCAGAATTTGAAGTATTAACATAAATAAGATAGTAAACTCAACAGCAATGTAACTACAATGTTATCGGAATATATAAATAAAAAAACAGATATTTAAAAATAAAATTTAGGGATAATAAGATAATGGTAACAATCAAGCTTTCACACAATGACAGTAAGAAAAACATGTGGCACAGGCTAAAGTAACTGGAAAGGTTATAATTACCTACAAGTAAATTTAATATGTGATATAGGAAAAATTAAATGGACTGTAATACTATAACAATAATGTCAAGGTATTAACAGCAACACACAATTAGAGTATTATAAAACAACCCAGCAGTAAATAATTTTTAAAATAACCAGTCAAAGATAAAAGGAATTTAAACGTGATTATTATAATTTATTATTTCAGAAATTGAGTGACTTCTAATGGAAAAGAATTTCTCATTATAAATATGTAGTGAGAAGATTGGCACTTGTAGTGATCAACATATGAATAGATCCCACTAGCTGGTCATTTTTCCAACTGCAAAATCTCGTCTTAGAAATATGGTGGATAACACATTTAGTGCGTATCTGAATGAGAAGTGGACTGGGCTGCAGTTTGTCATGATAAGTTAAGCAGACAATTCCACATGTTTATATGCTTCTCAATTTAAATTTAGAATTAGCAGTTTGTGTCAGATTTCTGATTTGATAAATATGTGTCTATTTTGATCCAGCTGGACTGAACGCCTAAATTAAGGTGAATTACCTTAGCACTAATAGAGATGTATTGAATCTTGATTAACAAATCACACGTTTGCCAAGTAAAATTATGCTTGGGTAAGGTTAAGCTTAGATAAGGATATTCACAGAATGCTTACAGACAAAAAAACGACTTGCACATATACTTCTGCATCATTCCATTTCATTATTTATACTAAATCTGAATGAAAACACATATAAAACGACACCTCAAGAGGTTTCTATTGTGTAAAAGGCAATGTTATGTTAGACTGACAATATTAAGATAATAAGAATTGGTAGGCAAAGCTCATTATCTCTGTAATAAATAGTGAATGCATATGAGGACCAGGCGGCTTGAGGAAAATAATCTATTGAGAGGAGCTGGATGTTGAAGCTATGCGTGCCACAGGGGCAAATGAAATCTGTCAGCAATAATATGGAATGATTTACGTCCATAAACACAGGCTCCGGATAGCTGTTCTGTTTCTGTAACAGGTCTGAGTTTTGAACAAATCTTGTTTGGGCAATTTAAGTCAATGTTGTACTTAACATTTTGCTGTTTTTCTTTTTCTCAGGCAAATACACTAGTGTGGATGGAGTGTGAGGCTGTAAAGTGATGCGCAAAACACCATGTGAAGTGGCCCAAAATTAACAAAAAAAAGTAATTGAAATTCTATTTCATTTTTTAAAAAAAAAACTTTTGAACATTTTAAGATTAACAGAGAACATATTGGAAGTGGGTGGTTTGTAAAAAAAAATACGTAAGCAAAGCACCCTATCCTGACTATTGCAGTGGTGACTCATCAGATTCATCATCTGTAAACATAGGCTGCCAATACATGTATAAATACATCCTTCCATGTACTGTATGTGTATGTACATATGTAAGCATATATGTATCCTTCTGATTGTAGTTTCAAATTCAGTACTGTACTACCTTTAATAAAAAGAGATTTTTTAAATACATACAGGTAATTAAACAATATTAATGATTGGATTGAGTCTATGCATATAAGAATTATTCCTTGACCCCAAAATTATTTACAATCTGAGTAAATGGCACAATGGAATTCTACCCTTGGCTCCGGAATATTTTTAAAATCAAGAAATCAATGAAAATATTTTTGAGATATTTCCCAGAGTGACCTTGAAATACAATTTGCAAGAACAGAGTGTGCTCAGTTCTGCTCGTCTTCACTGGACATTTTTAGTCTTCTGTGGGATTGGAACACTTATACCCAACTCGAATAGAAAACATGGTGGTGATGAAATTCAACATCTGATCAAATGAGGAATAATTTGGTTGTACGACCTACCTTTGTTTCATTTTCTCGTGCATTTCACCATGCTGGATACATTGTTCCTCCATTTCATCATTTCTCTTCTGCAATTTCTCTAGCCGTTCCTGTTGGTATTCTTTCTCCTGGAAAAGATGACCAACATCCGATCTGGAATAGATGATGATAATAATAAGAAAATAAGATCAGAGATGGGCAAGAAAGGAAGATTCTGCAGCTCTATGCTGACAAAGAGATAAATTAATAATTTTTGAAAATAAATTTACAAGCCCAGTTCTGTTTTAATTCTAGGAAATACAAGACAGAGATGTGATGACATTGTTGAATCTGACAGTAGTCATTTTAAAGACAGTCTGAGAGTCTTCCATTCACAGGCTATAATACCTTTTTATGAACCTTCACAACTTTTTTTTCCCTAATCGCAATCCATTGTGTGTCCAAGCCATTTTGAATTCCACTATCAAACACCCACCAGGAGGTGCATGAAGGTAGGTGCATGTGGAGATTCCCATTGGATTTGTTCTTATCCTCAATGGAGATAACTGGCTTCTGCTTGGCACCTTTAAATAGCTGCATAAATGAGGTGTGGGGATTGAATCTTTACTCCTCCATTGTATGCTATCAAAATGTGATAGCGGTTGTGATATTTATTGTTGTTACTAGATATAGAAGTCCATTTAGCAGTACAGTTATCTAATCTCTCAACATGAATAGCATCCTGAGTAGCTCAGTTGTTTGAACACTTTGGAACTCTAAAGGCCAAGGGTGAATGAATTCATTGGAATTTGAAAAGTCTAGGTTTGAGTCCCTGAGCCTTTAGATGTTCCTATTTTTTAAAAAGGCTTTGCAGTAATCTAAGGAGGTCAGTTTTCAGTAATAAAGGAGTTGATGCTTAAAACATCTCATCAGCGAGACATGAAACACAGCCATGCCCTCTGTCCTGTGAGCTAAATCCCTAATGTGCAGTGCTGGACAAGTTATGTCAAACATTGCATTTCACTACAGATATACAGATGACTAATAAAAAATGAAAATATAAGTCCAAAGAAGAACAAAAACACAATGTCTGGATTGTCCAGATCGCTATTGGTAAATGCCAGAAACTGCTTGATAAAGGAAATGAAAACTTTATTTTACGACTGTACCTCAAGTAGTCACTGACACGGTATTACACAACTTGTTCTGATAGTCAGATCCTCTCTCATTTTGGTTTTAAAACTTGACTTCAAGGATTTGGTTAATCTAACTAGTTTTAAACACAATGTCTTTCTATATCCATTTTCCATTCCTTTCAGAAATTAAGATGACTACACAAAATACACCATAGGTATTCTCCCCAACACTTTATTCAGATCAATTCTCCTTCTTTGACTGGATGGATCTACTTATAGATCCTAAGACATTATTTTCCTATACAACACTTGCTATTTACTATGATGATACAGTATTTGATGAACTATTACACTTAATTTTTTTTCTTGACTCAACAACAACAAAATTACATTTGCATAGCGCCTTTCACGTCAGGTGGACGTCCCATGGCACTGGACAGACAGAGTATCGGACCTGAGCTAGGGGTCAGGGAGGGTGGAGGACAGGGGGGAAGCAGGGAGATCGAAAGCATGGTCGAAAAGGAGGGTCTTGAGATGGGGCAGAGTGGCCTGCCAATAGTGGGGCGAGCGAGGCAGAGGACATGAAGCAGGCCGGAGCCCGCTGAGTGGAGGAAACGAGCGGGATGGTAGGGGGTTAGAAGGTTGCAGAGGTCAGGGGGGGAGCAAAACCATGGAGGGCTTTGAAGGTGAGAACCAGGATCTCGAACTGTAGCCTCTGTGTGATGGGAAGACAGTGGACAACAAACCCATTACAAGATGGTTGGATCCAATATCTCCAAGGCTGCGTAATGACAAAGCACAACAACACGGCTGACTTCCAGGACACGGCTTATGGTATTTTGTGAAGGAAGCGATATCAGAGGCGCTTATCGGCACCTCTGATTAAAAGATCTGCCAGAATCTAATAAACTGGTAGAACAGGCTTAATGGCTGAATAGCCTCCTCCTGCTCGTGTTTTCATATGTTCCTAAGTTATCTTTTGGATAGCTTTCTATAAAATTCCACTGGATTAGAGGGAAAATGCTGGTGAAGAGTTAAATGTGTAAGATGTAAATATTGGTGCCAGAAATATCTGATCCATTATTTTGAGCTGAAGGTTGGAAATATAGTGATTTTATGAATGTGGTGTGGCCAAAGTGTAACAAAATTATTCCTGTAAAAAAAATCTATTTCTTTCATGTCCTAAAGACAGCTGGCAACACTCACGATGAAACAAATTATGGTAAGCTTGTGTGCAATAGGCTACATATCATTTGCAACGCCACATGTGCAGACATCTGCACAACTGTTGTATGGGCAATAACATTAAGAAAAAAAATGTCCTGTAATCAATTCAGAATTATTTAACTCAGGATTGACTCCTGCTGCTGTTTAGTTGACAGATGCCTCAGTTACAGAGTAGTAATATCTGGATACAACGTTTAAAGAGTATACGAGCTCATAGAAAGCTATCCAAAATGCATTCCAAAATTAAAGTATGCTAAAAAAAACATTATTTACTAAAGGTGAGAAATTCATTTTTTTCAAAACATCAAATAAAAATGTATTAGAACAAAAACTATATAAATTCAAACAGATAATTATCGATCTCCTTTTCTGGGTCTGCCTGTATTTTCCGGATATAGCCTAGAAAAAGGCAACATACTGCAGCCAAAAAAGCTCAGCTCCTAAAGATTGCTCGTTTTATAGGACAGCAGATCACAATTTTGCTACTAGCCAGATAGTTTGGCTAATGTCTCTTACTTGGATTCTTTTCTCATTGCCACATAGGTGCAACAATAAAGGCAAACTTCCCCTGCAGCATTCATCAGTCTATCAAAGAGGAGGGAAAGACATCAGAAGAAAATGCCAAATGATCTGGAATGTGACAAAAGGAAGTGAATGAATAGAGCATTTTGATGTTGAAAGGAACAATGCAGCTCAATTTTTGAAATGTAAAATGTCAGCATGCATTTGAAACATTGAAACAGATCAATTGTTCCTTCTCAATTTACATATTGTGATATTTTACTTTAGGCACAGATGCCAGCCATGATTCTACAGGTTTTATACGAGGCGTCCGGTTCGACCTCCAACTGTGCTTCCTCCCCCACATCTGGTCCCTGACCAGGACCTCCACCTCCGACACATTGCTCGCCTCCGACCGTATCTTACCCCAAATGCAGCCAAAACCACCATGCATGTGTTTGTCACTCCCGCCTGGATTACTCCAACACACTTCTCGCCGGTCTCCTCCACTCCACCATTCACAAGATCCAGCTCATTCAAATCTGTGCTGCCCACATACTGACCCAGACCAAACACCGTAACCAGTTCTGCCCAGACTCCACTGGCTCCCCATCACCAACAAATCGACTTCAAGATAATAATAATATAATAATAATAATCCTTGCGTCGGGAGGACGTCCCAAAGCCCTTCACAGAACACTGTAAAGTGAATTGACTGTATGTTTGTGGGCGAACGCGGCAGCCAATTGCGCACTGCAATGTCCCACAAACAGTCGTAGATTGAAAATGACCAATTTATTATTGTTTTTGGTTTTGGAGGGATTATTATTAGGCTCTGTGTGGAGTAAGGAAACTTGCCCAAGGTTTTGCCCTGCCTGGAATTGAACTCAGGTCTCTCGCTTGCAAAGCGAGTGCTCTAACCACTGAGCTACAGGACTCCACAAAAAAAGATCCTTACACTAATGTTCAAATCCAGTCAATCACTGGCACCTCCCTACCTCCTCACTCCCCAATCCACCACCCGGCGCTTCCGCTCGACTGGCACCGGCCTCCTGCTCATCCCTCGCACCCTCTGACCGAACATCGGAGATTCTGCTTTCAGCCACTACGCCCCCAAAACTCTGGAACACTCTCCCTCAATCCCTCCGCCTTGTCCCCTCTCTCCCCTCTTTTAAGTCCCGCCTGAAGATTTTCCTGCGGGACTTGAAAAAGCGCTCTGAGATGCTATCCTGCGTGGAGGGCACTATATAAGTGCAAGTTGTTGTTGTACTAAAAATATAGATTGTACGAAATTAGAGCATCTGTGGACAGTTGACCTGAATGACCTGAGAAAAAGCAAAGCATTGCTCTAGTCCAAGTACAATATTACAGTTAGGAGAAACAATTGTAAAGGCTAATGGGATGCTGGGCTTTATAACAAAGGTCTGGATTATAATTGATGTACTGTATCGAGTGTTGGTCAGACCTCATTGAAGTGTTCACCTTTCGGTGCCCAACCTTAGGGAAGATATCTTCGAATGTATTGAGTGACGATGTAGAGATACGTAGAGATTTAGCTTCAGTGAGTTGTAGAGATTTAGCTATAATGAGTTGCTGGACAAATTTGGATTATATTCCACACAGCTCTGAAGGTTAAGGGGATGATCGAATTGAAGTGTTTGAAATAATAATAAGAACTTGTGAAGTTCTTTTGTTTATATTCAAACAAAATCAAAATAGTGTGGAGTCCCCTAGTGTAATGGTTAGCATGCTTGCCTTGCAAGTGAGAGGACCCAGATTCAAATCTCAGGCAGGTCGAAATCCTTATTCCACACGCCTCTGTTTACCTAACAGTAAGTAGGAACCCGGTTGTTAATAATCAACCTCCCCTCGCCCACAAAAAAAGAAAAAAATTCACTCACTCACTCCATGACTGTTTGTGATATTTGCTCACAAAATACACAGTCAAATCACTTTACTCTGTGAAGCTATTTGAGACGTCTCAACAATTTGATAAGGTGCTATATCAAATGCAATGATTATTATTATTATTAATAAGAACTGACATGGTCATTCTTCATTATGATAGGGGGATCGAAAACAAGAGATATAATTTCAACACAATTTGAAAAAGAGGGAGTTTCTCCTGATGTCCTGGCCAACAACCCTCCAGATAAATTGGTACTTCACTTACTGGCTATTTGTGGAATCTTGCACTGCAGAAATTAGCTGCTGCATTTGTCTACAAATATAAAGGGAAAAATTCCAATGTTATGGCACTAGAGTAAAGGATGGAACAAGGAGAGTAAATTTGCTCACGCTGTGTTAAAT